AGTGTACAGGACAGATGCTTACTACCAAGGTCTACTACCAGTTGATTTATTCAGATCAAATCCTTGTGAAATAACAGCACTAGAGCGGGCCATATTTTCCCCACACCCTCTTCTGAGCTGGCAACGTTGAAGGAAAAGGGAAGGAACAGGAGGGTCAAGAGCAGATAGATGGCAGCAGTTGTTGTTATGTGCTGTCAGGTTACACCAGCTTATGGCGACCCTATGAATAAGCGATCTCCAAAATGTCCTGTCCTCAGCTGATCTGCTCAACTGTTGCAAACTGAAGCCTGAAGGGAGTCAGTCCATCTTGTACTTGGTCTTCCTGTTTCCCTCCTGCCTTCCACCTCTCCCAGCATTATGATCTTTTCCAAAGAATCCTGTCTTCTCATGATGTACCCAAAGTAGGACAGCCACAGTTTCAACATTTTTCCCTCCAGAGATAGTTCAGGCTTGATTAGATCTAGGAGGACCACTTTGGGGGAAAAAGAAACCCTCTTATATTCTCTAAGGCTGCAGTCACACCAGCAAAATGTTTCTAAGTTACTCCTTGTGAATTTTGGCCCTTATTTTTTTTTTAGTTCAGATGACGCAAGACGTTTATTGATTCTTTTATCCCCCCTCTGTGCTACGTCCACATCAAATCCAGCCCACTGGGAGGTTACTACTATATTTGTTCCATGTTTCGTCACACAGTGCAACTGCCATCACATTAAGTGTGTACTCCAAAACCAATCCATTTCCTATGCATCTGGCATGCAGTCCTACCTCCCTCACCCACTGTCGTTCAACTCCCTTAATTTTTTTTATACTTCTGTAAAATACCGAGCATCAGTCCCTCTACTGACTTTTGACTGCCACTGCAGTGTTCTGTGCCCCATAGAGGGTAATGAAGCACAGAAATAAGAAGAAATGACCCAGATCAGTATGTGGCTAGCAAGGATGTTTTGCTGACACATCAATGTACCCCCCACAGTTTTTTGTAAAAAAGGGGGAGGGGTAAGGCAAACAAAAAAGGAAGATATGCCCCACATGAGGGGTGTAGACCTATGTTCTGCATCTAATTCAACCCCCAAAAGTGGAAAGGTTAAAAAATGTATGAACCACTATCACAGGATATATGCCATGTGACCACAACATGCAACTATATATGAAGCAGAAGACGCAAGAAAGAAGGGGGGCATTTCTCTTGTGTGACTGCAGCCCAAGTTTGGTGCACATGCTTCTCAGCCACACATCAGCTTGGCTATGAAACAGTGTGAGCAGAGGCATGCCATCTCTAGTGACACTCCACTTCTGTTTCTTGCTTCAGTGTGGAAATCCCAAGAGCAGGAAGGGTTGCAGGTTAACATCCATCCATTTTTGCTCTCACAGGAGGCCATGTGAATAAACACACTTTGGGGTTCCCTGTTTACATCTACTTAAATGTTTTTCACAAGCTGAAGAAAAAGTAAGAGTTCACTTGTTACCTTGGAGGGCCAGATTACATTGTTCAACCTACTGCCTGATTTTGTCTGTCTGTTCACTTATTTAAAAATTATATACAGTATATGAGAGAGAGCAAGAGAGAGAGCGAGAGAGAGAGAATTGTACAATGAAACATCAGTCACTTTAATTTATGTGGATACACACATTTCATAAATCTAGTGGTAACGAAAGTAGGATTCTGGTTAATCTTCCAAGAAGCTGACACATACGTCTCAATCAGAAATTAACAGATTTTCAAACCTCATAAGGGAAGAAGATATAGTCGCTGCAATAGCAGCTTGACATTGTCATCAGGAGAGACATTTATCAAGCAACGGATAAGAAGTCTCTTACAAAGAAGCAAATCTCTCCAGCTACTACTGGGATCAATTGCCACCCACACTAAACTCCCTTTAATTAAAAAAAGAATATCTCTGAACCATGTTGGTGGGGTAAATACATACAGCCTCCAGCAGCATCTCTTGCCCAGGGCAATGGGACTGTATTTGTACCACTTGGATAATAACGAATGATGAAGCCATTGCATGGCTCTTCCTTCTCATCCTGTGACTGTTAATCTCTAGGAACAGAAGAACCTGCTTTACACTAAGCTGGGTCAAAGGTTCATCTGGATTTGCATTGCCCCCTGTAGCCTTCTCTTACCTGGTGCTTTCCAGAGGTTTTGAACTAAAATTCCTATCAGCTGCAGCTAATATGGTCAATAGTGAAGGACCATGGGAGCTGGATGGAGTCTAAAATATCTAGAAGGTACCACACTGAGGAAGGCTGGGCTACACCATCAGGGAGTGACTTCTTATGGTTTCAGACAGACGTCCCTTCCAGTATTACCACAAGGTGCCTGGGACTGAACGTGAGCTCTTCTCTGTGCAAAGCAGGGGATTCATCCCAGACCAATCACAGGGACCATTTTATTCCCAGTTCAGACTTCAGGGAAACTGTCTGTATTTCACTTGTATCTCACATTCCTCCACTGAGCAAAACAGAACATATGACTCTATTCCTCCCCACATTGTCTTCACATAGATCTTGCAAGGTAGGTATGGCTGAAAAAAGTGAGACTAGCCTAAGGTCACCAGTGAGTTTCAGAATCTGGATCCAAGTATCTTGAGTCCTGGTCCCACAATCTAACCACTGCATCATGCTGGCTTCCTTTGGCATTTGCTTTTTTAAAAAAATAAATTTGTCTGTGCTCATGTGTAGCAAAGAAAGAGGTTCCATTCTTCTTCTTCTCTCTAATTGCATTCCTATCCTCGCTTCGCCATGCAGTAAGTAGGTAAGGAGCTTTGTAAATAAATGGAAGTGGGAGACTTCCTGGCCCTTGCTCCTTCTGAGCCTTCAGCCACTCTCTGCTGGTGTAAGGCAGTATGATACTTGACTGAACTCCTTAAATTAGTGTCCTGCCCTGGGATGCAGTGGAAGTGCAATTAGCAGTGCCCTTTCACTTCTCTAAGAGAGCAGACATATGTGGCATGTTGAACATGCCCAATCTTATCTAATCTCAGTGGTTGAGCCTGGACAGTATTTGGATGGGAAGCCACTCAGGAATACTCTGCATGCGAAGTGTTTTGAATGGACCCTGGAAAGATCGCCTGCTGCTGTAGCTGAGGTCTGCAGTCAGGGACACAGCATCCCACTTTTAGAGATTTCAGGGTCAAAGCCTGAGATTGAGAACAGACTCTTGGTGATGTCACAGAAGCAGGTAGGCAAGGGTTAGGAAGGAGGACACTTTCCTAGGCTTTGTGTCATTGCTGCTGGGGATTGTTAAACAAGAAAACTCAGGAATCCAAATGGCACCAAGGGTTGAACGGTGGCATCTCAACAAGCCAAAAGCAAAAGGTAAGAACTGGGGACAGAGTCAGTGAGCACATGTTGCTTCCATGGCTTCGCATGCTGAGAAGAAAAATGACTTCTCAGTGGTGGTTGAGAGTGGCCTCCTTTTAGTATGCGTAGTCAGCCAGAAGGTAGGTTACCTGTTCACAGTCTTTTCCACTCAGGCAAGGCATACTCTGTAATTCTGCTTAAATTATGAAGATATTTTCTAATTATGTAACTGGATACCTAAATTAACACATGCCACTTTATCCAAATGAATATCCTCTTTTGATCCTTTTTTGGTGATGTATGTCCTCCTTTTTTTAGTGCTATGTAGGTCCTCTTTTGATCTCCTTTTTTGGTGATGTACAGTATGTCCTCCTTTTTTTAGTGCTATGTAGATAGCCGACGCACACTCATGTGCACGCACACACACACACACCAGTAAATTTCTTTGGCCAACTAGGGATTTAAACTGAAATCTCCTAATTCTGCAATTGACATTTCATGCACTACAGCCCCCTGGCTATTAGGCAATACCTTTACTGCACCAAGAAAATCTCAAAAAATAGATTAGCTTTTGAGCCCTGCAAAACTTTCCATCTGGCTGGGCTTTGCAGAGCTGGAAGGAGAGAAGCGTGCG